ATATGGTTATGAGTATCAACCAGGCGGTATAACTCACGGAGCGTTTGGGTTTGTCCTTGAATTTGGGCATCCTGCTCCTCCAATCGACGGGTGAGGTGATCTGCTGGGCCTTGAGTTTGGCCACAGTGTTCTGTCATGATGGGTTCTCAAAGAGCGACCCAAGTATGCAGAACACCACTGACGGACACAGGAATAAAAGTTCAACAAGTTTATTTTGTTACAAGCACACTGAATGTACAGGTTCTGGCTCGGGCCTGGACACTGGTTCACCGGAGTCTGCGTGAGAGACAGTTCAGTTAGCGTTGCAAGTTGGAACTTGATTTCTTGATGATTACTGATTGTACCTTGAGGGTTCTTGAGGTTAGCTTTGGGAGAGTCACTGTTGGATCTGGAGAGGAGTTGATCAGCAGAGTCCGCTTGCTGCTTCAGCGTCTCACGTCTATCAAAGAACAGACCTTGGCTTAGGGTTTTCCAGCTCTTAGTCCTGAGCTGCATGGAGGCTCTCAATGGTTCTTCGGGTTTGGCTCTGAGGGTCGGCTCGGCAGGTTAGCTCTTCCAGAGCTTCACAGAGGAGACACTGGTTTCCTGGAAGATAGAGACAACGGTTAGAATCCTGGCTGGACTCAGAGTCACAAAATATACAGAGAGTCTAGGCTTAGGCGCTGACCAACTGGATCAACAATGCGGCGCTGAGGCAAGGTCTGAAGACAGCTTAAATAGTGGATCCTCTGATGATCTTGATGGGCTGCAGCTGTGCAGGAGGCTCACTCAGAAGGATCCACGGCGGACTCTGCTGGAGAAAGGTGGAACTTCTCCAGCTACCAACAAATCTGCTGATAGTGATCTGCACATCAATGGATCTCTACAGACCACAGATTCATATAACATCTTAAAATCAGCCTTGCTTTCTTTAAAATATATGCAGAAATCATATTTCTTTTAAGTTCATGAAATGCTGATAGACTGGCAATACATTTTACTGTAAGTGGAAATAAACTAATGCTCTGTCTCAAGATTTTTTCCAAGAATATGAACTAAAATGGTCAGGTTAAAAGATTTCCATGCAAACACCCCTATTTTACACTAAAGAGACAGACAACATTCAGAAAATATTATTCTCTTTGCATTTAGTAGTATTTTTCGGATATTTTAGTTATTACCTAGTTAAAATCATGACTATTACCTTTATATTTCTCCTTAAAAAACCTTTTGCAAAGTTCTGCTGGGTAAAAATGTATGCTATTTTCCACTTTAAATATTAGGGCTATGCAAAATGAATGCATTCACTAATAAAACAAAGATTGTTTATTAAATGCTTGTATAAAAATTAAACATCTCTTTTGTTGTTACCCACTCTTCTCAAAAAATTAATAAACACAGAAAAAATGTCACCATATAAACATCAGTTTATTATCATAATCATCATTAAGGAAAATAAATTATCATATTATATTTACTGTCTAAATATATTTAATTATCTAGTTACAGTATATTCACATACCTAATTTGATGACTCGTTGAAGTATAAAAAAAATTATTTGGATTTTGAGAACAGAATGCATGTATGTATGTATGTATGTATGTATGTATGTATGTATGTATGTATGTATGTATGTATGTATGTATGTATGCATGTATGCATATACACTCAACAAAAATATAAACACAAAACTTTTAGTCTTGCTCCCAATTTTATGAGATGAACTTAAACTTTTTCCACATACACAATATCACCCAGTCCCTCAAATATTGTTCACAAACCAGTCCACATCTATGAAAGTGAGCACTTATCCCTTGCTGAGGTAATCCATCCCAGCTTACAGGCATAGGACCTCCTTTCATGTTCACCTCCAGGATCGTCTGAGACGAGCAACTCGGACAGCTGCTGTAACAATCGGTTTAGATAACCAAAGAATTTCTGCACAAAACTGTCAGAAACCTTCCCAGGGAAGCTGATCTGCAAGCTTGTCGCCCATATCAGTGTCTCCACCTGACTCCAGTTTGTCATCGTAACTTATTTGAGTGGACAAAGGCTCATATTTGCTTGCATCTAGCACGTTGGAGAGGTGTTCTCTTCACGGATTAATCCCAGTTTACACTGTTCAGGTCAGATGGCAGATGGCCTTTCTGGGTGAGTGGTTTTCTGATGTCAATGTTGGGGATGGAGTGGCCCATGGTGGCAGTGGGGTTATGGCATGGGCAGGCATCTGTTATGGAAACACACAGGTGCATTTTATTGATGGAATTATCAATGTCCAGAGATACCATGACAAGATCCTGAGGCCCACTGCTGTGCCATACATCCAAGAACCTCATGTTGAGGCAGCATAATGCATGGTCCCATGTTGTAAGGATCTGTACACAATTCTTGGAAGCTGAAAAAGTCCCAGTTCTTTCACGGCCAGCATACTCACCAGACACATCACCCATTGATTAAGTTTAGGATGCTCTGGATTGGCGTATACAACAGGGTGTACCAGCTTCTGCCAATATCCAACAACTTCGTATAGCCATTGAAGAGAAGTGGACCAACATTCCAGAGGCTACAATGAACAACCTGACCAACTCTATGCGAAGGAGATGTGTTGCACTGCATGAGGCAAATGTTGATAACACCAGATACTGACTCGTTTTTGGACCCCTCCCCCCCTCCTTTTAATATTGTTGCATCTGTAGTATTGTGCTGTGTCATAAAAATGCACCTTTCAGAGTGGCCTGTTATTGTGGACAGTCTAAGGCACACCTGTGCACTAATAATGGTGTCTATTCAGCATCTTGATATGGCACACCTGTGAGGTAGGATGGGTTATCTCACAAAGCAGACTTACGTTTGTGAACAATATTTGAGTGAAATGGTGATATTGTGTAAGTGGAAAAAAAAGTTCATCTCATAAAAAACAGGAGCAAAACTAAAAGTGTTGCATTTATATTTTTGTTGAGTGGATGTATGTAAATAGTTTGCATTTAAACTCACCTGTCTTAAGTCAATACTTAAAGATAGATTTTTAAATGGTTTTTAAAACATAACTCAAGTTCAGTCGAATTGTAAGCATAGTATCTCTTACTAGAGATTCTTAATTGGATTTAGGTCAAGACATTTCAAAACAAATCTAAACTTTGATCTTAACCATTATTATTGATGCTTTAGCTGGGTTGTTTTCCTGCTGAAATGTGAACCTAAGTCACAAGTCTTTTTTAGCCTCTAAAAGTTCTAACTGGAACCATATTTTTTCCTGCTTAGATCGTTTGACTTCATGCTGCTGTTGCTCTGTAGTTAAATTCTGAGGCATTCCCAGAACAGCTAGATTTATACATAGATTAAACTAAACACAAGTGGCCTAAATGTACTGTTAGATGACATGCATTTTAGATCCCAGCTGGCGGGTTACCAGCATTCTCTCTGGGACAACGGCAAACGAAATGAGAGTCCAAGACACAGGTGTATTGGAATTTGGAAGACAGGCAGAAGGTCAGAACCGTGAACGTGAGAAGGATGAGCCGTTGAGTGAAGCCAAAGACATGGTTGGGGACATGGTTGATAGTCGGAGCCAGGAGTTTAGCGATCCAGTGAGGTGCCAAAGGATCCATTTTGAATTGAAAAAGCTTCCTTGATGGGAAGGGAACCATCTTCAAACTTGGAAACAAAGTCCTGTGGATTGTTTTTAATTCCTTTTTTTGGAATGACTATGACCTGGATGACTGAGAAGCTTCACCAGCATATTCTTAGACTTCCTTTATTGTCATTGCACAAAAAAACATAAGGTGAATCTTGACAACGAATTGCTGGTGTATATTGCTGGAAAAATGCGTGAGTATAAGAAATTGCTTAGAACTGTATAAAACCTCGAACCCAATGTTATTCCTGACATTTGTAATTGAAAAAGCTTCCTGGATGGGAAGCAAAACGTCTTCAAACCTGGAAACAAAGTCCAGTGGATTATTTTTAATGTTCTTTTTTTTGGAATTCTTGAATACGTCTCACCAATGGTTTGAAATAATCTGGCACTGATGACTGGTCTGAAGGCTGGTTATATAGTGGCTAATGTAGGTGGATCAGATGAGCAGGTAATTAGAACTGGGGAGAGCTCAGTTGTGTGAAATGAGTGATCAGACTAGGCATCAGTGCTGAGATCATGACAGTCATACCTTAAGAGGTTTTGATTTGGGCCACATTCATATTCACATTCCTCTTTGACTTTATAATCCCAAGATAACATATTTTACATTGGTTGTTTTAATAAAACAATAAAAAATTAAATAGGTAAAAGGGTGTGAATACTTAGGCAATATATTGTATGATTGCTCAACTGCTAATTTTAGAACTGGTTTTAAAAACAGATCACTTACTCCCGGATACAAGCAGCTGAAATTAGTTTTCTCCGTAGTGTGTCTGGGCTCTCCCTTAGAGATAGGCTGAGGAGCTCAGTCATCCAGGGAGGACTCAGAGTAGAGCCACTGCTCCTCCACATCGGGAGGAGCCAGTTGAGGTGGCTCGGGCATCTGATTAGGGTGCCTCCTGGACGTCTCCCTGGTGAGATGTTCCTCCCAAAGGGAGGAGGCCCAGGGGGAGACCCAGGACACGCTGGAGGCACTATGTTGGTTCAATATTTCTTCTCTGTTGGTAAATAGACAGGGCTGTATAGTAATTTTGGTCACTGATACACTGATGATGGCAAGGTGTATTGTAGCCACAGCTGTTGTGGGGTACACTGATAGAAGTAAGGCTGCCATACACAGGCCCAAACAGGCCCTCTCACCACCATTAGGAGGCAATGTGGGTGACCGAGACGGACGGAGCTGGGGTTGTCTTTGTCAGATGATGATTTCAAACAAATTCAAAACCTTGTTTTTTTTTTTTCAGGAATAAAATACCGAAACATTCAGCTTGGTCAAACATTCATATATCAGCTCTCTTCTTAATAGTTTTTCTGAAGATGCATTATGCTAAGATCAGCATAGACAAAAATGGCTAAGTCATTTTCCTTTGTTAACCTTTGCAGTCCAGGGTCTGCAGTGCTATGGCTGCAACATCATCCATGGCCAGAGGTATGTGGACTTGGGCTGCTCCAACCCAGAGGTCATCACCTGCACCCACTCACACAATGGCTTCAAACACCGATTCTGCATTAAGACAGAAAGCAGTGAGTGAAAATTATCATTCTCTTTTAATTTAGAGTGAAAATGTTATTATTGGCAGTTTTTTTTTTTTTTATTCTTTGGTTTAATTCACCCTGATGTTGCACTGGATATTTCCATAATCATTTCTAATCCTAAGTTTATGAAATGTTCTTTGTCTGGCAGATTTGAATATTCCATTTCCTTGCACAGAGGATAGTTATATAACTCAGATGTGGTCTGCTGAGTAAATTATAAGTCATTCAATGTTTGATGTTAAGTCAAATGAAGGATGCAGACGTTCAAGGCCGGGACGATGATGGAGCAGATTCATAGAAGCGTGGGCAGCCCAGCTGTTTCTCTGCCGGACATCTCAACAAATCTGCTCATGTTGAAAGGGCTGATGTGGCACGGTTTTGCAGTTACTAAGAGAATCAGAAAAGAACTGCATGTCATACAGTGTAAGACAAGCTCTTAGTCAAAACCATGTACCAATGTCTTGGCAGTAATCTGAGGCCAGTCAGCCCATTTAATCTCCCTGTGACCCTGTCAAACACAAATCAAAGAGATGCTGGCAAACTTCCATGATACCGTCTTACAGTTGTGGTCTCTTTTGTTTGAAAATACCGGACATTTGTCCCTAATCCTATACATCTTCAGCTTCCCTTACTTCTAAAAATATGTCTTATTCTTAATTTGCCTCCAAATCAAAGCTCAGAACAATTGATACTGTGAAAATGTTACATAAATTGTGGTGTAGCTGCAAAAAACTAATAAAATGTCAGGAACATATTAATATGCTAAAAGATTGAGTCCTATAAAACCTCTTAAACAAGGGCAGCAATGTTTAAAAAGTCAGAAATAAAACATGTTTATTAACCATCCATATAAAGGAGAACATTATTCCCTATGACCGAAAGTGCTGAAAGCCTGAGTTCTGTTAAGTCAAAGTTAAAAAACCCATTTGGTTAAAGCTGCCTTTGACTGTTAGAGTAATCAGTTAACTGAGGTATTATCATTATAAGGTTGTGGTCTAGCTGTTTCCTTGTTTAAATACCAGATTTTAGGATGTTTTTATTTTCGTTTGCTTTTATGCTGAATTTAGTTGTCTTCTATTTTATTGTTTAATTCATGTAAAGCACTTTCAATTGTGCATATACTGAATTGTACTATACAAATAAACTTGCCTTGCCTTATAGGGAGGCAATCATATAAAGTTTGATGAAGAGGTTTGTTTTTTAGAAAAATAATGTTTATGTTATAAGTTACATCAATGATTTAATCTCACATCATATTTATTTCTTTGTGATCATGCTAAGATCTATCTCCTAGTGATTATCTAAACTTGAAATAAAACCAACCTTTTAAAGCTAATTCTGTATTCTGTCACATCAACTAAATTAGAAATGTATTTCTTTGAATATATCACTTCTTCTAAAACTTATGAGCTGAAGTTAGGCTTTCTGTCCTTGCATACACATTCAGTGTAAAGTTACCCTGTACTGTGTGTATTTTGTCAGTTAAATAAAATAATTATGTCTTCTATAAAGCAATATTTATTTATAAAGCAAGATCCAAAACAGTAAATATGGAAACGTCATGATTTCCGATTTGAAGATTATTGTGTTGGACCTAATATTGTTAAAAGGACTGTTAAAACTATGTTATGATGTATGTTTCTGTGCTTCCATTACATTTGGCTGCATCAACACTCAATGGGGTTTGAGATTATTTCAGGGTTATAGTGTGAAAGGGGTGCACAGCATCACTGATGCTGATTAATTGAAAAGATCCACTATGGTGCTAACAATGCTCCTTAACTTGGGGCCTAACAAATGAGAATGTTTGTCAAACCAGAATTGCTGTGAGAACCAGAGATCCCACCGCAACCTGAGATCCGTGTGTTTTCTTGAACTAAATTTCACACCATTCAAACTTTAGCTGACCTGAGAATCTCAGCACAAATGCTGTGTACCAACTTAAAGTTTTTCCTATGGCAGGGATCTAGCTGCTGACTTTTCTGGCCCTTGAATTACTCTAAAAGGAAGAAAAAAGGATGGAAAATATTGAAAATTGAGCTGAGGAAGAGGAAACATGCATTAAATAAAACAAAACGACAAAACATTTGCTGTACATACATTTGCTTATTTCTCTCTAAAAATCTTACATGTTTCTCAGGTGTGATTATTATCACCTTGGGCTTCCTTCTTAATTCTATCATTATTTGGCACTTTCTAGGGGGGCAACTGGGAAAAATATATTCAACATGATGCAGAGTTTAGGCAAGGCAAGATAGATCCCTTCAGTGAAATGACAATTCAAAGTGCTGTTCATGACATGAAGGAAAAAGAAAAGAGCATTGCACTGGCAAATTTAAGGCAAGGACAAAAAGGGGGACCACAAACCTAAACTAATAATTTGCCATTAATAGTTTAAATAGGACAAAAATCGAAATCAGTTCCAAACCAATAGCTTTTTAGTCTTTATCTAAAAAAAACCTCAAGGTTTCAGCAGTTTTAAAGTCTTCTGGACCAGGTGAAAATAGCCGAATTGCTAACTCAGATTTATTTAAAAAAAAGGCTGTAATTATAATGTGCATCTTTCCTTTTAAATACATCTTTATATTTGAATAAGAACTTAATGCTGGTTCTCCATTTGTGTTGGTTGTGGTTATGTAGAGTAGACTTTACCCAGAAGACCTTGGTGGTCTGAGCGGTTGATACACTGACATTTTATCTTTAGTGATTTTGATGCAAAGACAAACAGAATTTTTTAGGCTATCAGGAGTATTTTAAAGTAAATTCTCGGGTATACAGGAAGTAGGTGTAAGGAATGTAGAATTGGCAGCAGTATTCTGGATCAACCACACTTTTTTGGACAAACTGGGCAGACAGGGTTTAAGTAATCTGTTCATTGCAGATGAACAATGAGGTTTTCAAGAACCTGCTGAGTCCTTTAATCCTGTAAATGTTTATTATGGGATATAAGGCGGCTTTTGATCTGTTTTTCTGTGCCTCTGCAGGTTTCGGTCCAAATCTATCATTGGACCTAAATGTCAGGTTTGATCAGTGGTTTCCAGCTGCAGTTACTGATATAGTGTTCCAGCACTTGATAATTTTCCTCTATTGCTTAATTTTTGTTTTTTTCAGAGGAAGTAAATGTTGGTCGATCCATGCATTGATATTTTTCAATGCATTTACCCAGCATGGGTTCATAGTTACCTGGTGACATAGTAATGTGCAGTAAAGCTGTGTGTTATCGGTATAGTAATGGTAACATCCTTAGGGTTGTTATAATTTGAGTTTTCGGGGCATATAGATATTGAACGGGAGGGGCCCCCACATAGAACATTGGGGAAATCTGCATGTGATTTTTGTGGTAGGGTAGTATCAGGTCCTCCACCCTTTGTTTAATTTTCTTCACCTATCAGCTTCTTGTAATTTGAACTTTTCCTACTGAAGGCCTCCTCCATTAGGTATTAACAGGGAACAGTCAGTTAGAACAGGCTTTCTTTGCTGTTTCTGTGAGATCAGGATGATGCCTGGTCTATGGGTGGCTACTGTGATATTTTCTGGAAATCAAAGCCATCTACCTTGTTAATAATACCAACTGTAACACCCTCTCACTGCTGTTGGACAACAGCTTTAGATATGCTCCAGTGATCTTACTTTCTGGCAGTGTGGGCATGGTCGGGTGTCTGCCATGCCCCAGAAGGAGAGGCTGAGTGGGTCAGGAGAGACACTTTGAGATGGACTGAACCAGGAACTCTGGAAACTCAGATTTCCAATGCGCTATCTATGACATTTTCCAGTTTGCTGCCTGCTCTGTCATCTTATCAATGCTCCCTGCTGCAGAATCCATTCCTGTTCATTGCTGCAAGCCTTCTCCCACCCTGTGTAAAACACATCTGTATATAAACTATTTCCATGGGGCAAACTTTGTTAAAAAGGGGAGCACTTTGACCAGATCTTATTTAATGCAATCATCATTTTCAAGGACAGAAGCAGATACATGTAAGTCAAAGGAAAATACAGTTCATAGCAAAGGTTCATTCAGAGAATCCATGCTGCTTCCTGGCCTCTCTACTAATAGTGTTTAAAATTAACATGAGATTTACAGAAGATGCAGAAACTGACATTGCAATCAAGCACATATATCTCATCCTTATATCCAGGTACAAAAAGGTAAACCCAACACAAGCACAAATCTGATCTTAGTCTATTATTATAATATTACATTATAACATTACATAAAAAAATTTTTAGACTTATATGACATCCTAGATCTGTGTTTGAGTATTCAGCATCCTCGACATCCATTTGCGTCCATTGTGAAAACTCTTTTTTTATAAATGTATTTTTTAACAATGAAGCATAATCTCACACCTAAAGTAATGAAAAACAATCTAACCTTTAATTTGGATGTATTTATTCACTGGGGGAAAAAATTTTAACATTTTATTCTTGTTGGGGGATTTTTTCTGCAAATGTTAACAAAACACTTGTCTTTTCAAATGATACGTCACTTTCTTTTGTTACTCATTTATCATTTTTAATTGGTAAATGATTACTTTTTGTTTTCCATATGCCTAAATAAGATGATGATTTCACTTAGAACTCAGAAGTGTAGCAAGGAGAGGCAGCTCATCCAAATATGCCGTTTAATGGCTATCTATGAGCTAGCCAGCTGTTTTTGAAGCATGTGATGAAAAGCGTTTATGTCCTACCATTACAAACATAGAAATAGGCTGTTGTCTAAAAGCTAATATATTTCAATTAAACCCCAGCGTTCGTCAAATCAAAGCGATTCCAGGTGATTTGACGAGTAATAAAAAATCCACCTACTTTAGATAATTTAAACCTGGTGAAGGATTTAATGTTTCTGTTCCAAAAAAATTCCAAACTGTTTCAGAGTGCATGATAATATGAACTTTATCACTACCGTTTAACCATTAATAGGGCACTCTGTGAAAGACTTATATCTAAATTTCCATCAAAGAGTGCACTTAAAGTAACTGAAATCTAAGTAAGTCAATTTTTCTTAAAATAAGTTCATCTTTCTTGAATTGAGCAGGTAAATAACACACTTTGCCAATGGAACAAAAAAAATAACATTTAAAATAAGGGAAAAAAATGCACTCTCCTATTTCAAGTGCATACTATCAAATAATCTTATTTTAATGATAAAAATGCTCCTTATTTACCTACTCAAATTAAGGGTAAATACACTTATCTTAAGACATTTTCACTAATTTTTAGATCTTTTTGTAGTGTGTTATTGGAATCCAGGACAAGGCCTTATTACCTTTGTAACATTTAAAAAATATGTATATTTTGATGGCAAAAATGAATGTCAATGTAATAAAAAGAAACTCCAACTTGCCCGACTATATTAAGAAAAATAACAGAAGTGTTTCTATAAGAAATTCGTGAAAAACACTCTCAGAGTGAAAGAAACACATTTTATTTTAGGTACAACATAACCTTAGAGGCTTATTAACCTTTTAACTTTACTTTTTAACTTTTCAATTAGCTTTTTGGGGCTCCATTTGTAAAGGGTATGCAAGTGATCAAAAACGGTAATTTGCCGTAGAAAGGGGGTTAAATAAAAATGTGGTGCCCTCTGATAAAGACCAAAAGTAAATGGTGCTTACAGGATAAGGATGTATGCCATGTGGCCAAACCAATCCAGAAATTTTTCTTCAAACACAAGTAAACTCCCTTTTATGGTCAAATAAAACATGTTGGGTGAGCTGATGAGAAAAGACAATAAACAAGGACAGAGACTCGGGACAATCTGGACAGGTTGTACAATGAGGAGTCATCAAAGAGCACTCTAACGGTATGCTCCCATTGGAGACGTTCAACTGAAGAGGAATAAGTGTTGGCAGAATTTCCAGAAAAGGGGTTGTACAATTAATGCCGAAAAAGAAAAAATAAATTATTATCTATTATCAAGTGAAATTAAAAACATCATTGTACAAATTGTGCTTGTCAGAGAGCTGTTTTCTCTGTGTATTCTTAAGATTTGTAAATGTCTTTCTAATTATCCACTTGCAGCATTTGTTGCTTCGTTAGGTTTTTTTTTTTCCTGCTGAGCCAAACACCAGCTCATCACTCTTATCTGACTGACTGACTCAACATCCCTCCCCCCTGTTCTGTCCCTACAGTTGCCCTGGGTATCGCCCTGACCAGTGGCTGTGCTACATCCAGACACTGTCAGCAACAAGAGCTGCCAGGGGTGCGAATTCACTGCTGCGACTCTGACCTGTGCAACAGCACCCCACTGTGGCATCCAAGCACACTCCATTATGTCTGCTCACTGGGTGTCATCCTACTGAGGTTATGGTGGTGATCTGAAGCTGCAGTGGGACTAACCTTCAGCGTCACTGGACTGCGCATCTCAAAGTCTCAGTGTTATTCAGTGTGGTGTTACTTGAACGCAGCTCATAGATAAGGCCATATCACATCCTTGGCTTGGACTAAGAATCAAAGGGAGGAATCACAAAATATCTCATAAACATGTTTGAGGAAAAGAAAGATGTAACATTTTACATCCATCTGCGAACTTGTGCACTAACACTTATTCAAATGTAGCATTAAGCATGACATTTTATGGATTGTTTGTGTTAGAGTTTTACTGTATGTTCAGTGAAAAAGATGTGTCACATAAACACACATTAATAACCCATAAAAATAAAGATACCCATATTAACCCATCAAAAATAAATAATCCATAAATAACATTAATGACCCATGGAAATGTTTATTCTAGCTTTATGAAATCTTACTTTTACTTAAAAGCATATCTTTCTCTCTGTTTAAAGGGGTTTGCTTTAGTTTTCAAGATCCAATAAATGCTTGATGTTGTCTTTAAAATTCATTGTCTATTTACTTTACTATGTATTTTTTCATTTTGGTTTGTGCTGCAGTACAACCGGCCAGCTGGTGAGAAACTTAAAGATCTTCTATGAAACGCTGATTAGTAAGAGCATGTATTGTTGTGAATTTAATCAATAAATGTTTCATATTTTTCAAAGGAAAACTTGCGTTCAATGCAGTGTATCTTGACAAGAAAAACATTCAGAATAGTCCCAAATCAGATTTTTATTTTTTTATTTTTTCTGAGTTTGTCAAATGTTTATACTGAAGGACTAGTCAGTCAACTGGGAAAAAGCAGGTTACTCTCTTTAGTTAGAGAGTTTAGTCTCAATCTCCTTTAGTCTCAAACAGTGCTAGGATCTTGATGTCCTGTCACAGAGTTATGGCAGGATGGAGCAGGAAATCAAATCTGAATCTTAACTATTGTCATGAGATGTTGACTTTAACCTAAACAAGAGGTTGAAACTTACAAAAATAGAAAAAAAAAAACATTAATTTACAAACTGCAGGTCTGTCCCTTTACTGCTGTAATTTTCCTAAATAATAGACAAACTTTTCAACACCAGATTAGATAAATGACTTGATAAACACAAACTGCTCTCTGAGGGTCAGTTTGGTTTTAGGAAAAAATAATGAAATCATATTTGACATTTGGAAAGCCATAGAAGCTAAATGGTGTTTAGGGCAAGAGACAATAACTTACTAGGTAATATAAATATAATGTTTATTAATCGAGAGGAAGGATATAATCTAAGAAGTGATTTAAATTTGAAAATAGTAACTGCCCGCTGAGCAAACCGAACATTTTTTATTTCCAGATGGGGTGTTAGGCTGTGGAGTGGTCTAAATATAGATCTCTGAAGAAATGGTTTGACCTTCAGCTGGGCTGTATTTCAATCTCAATACGTGTATATATAGCGTCATAGCTTAATTCCATATCAGTAATCTGAAGTTTAAATATTTTCTGATATTTTAATATTTATATTACAGAAAACAGCTTTTGTAACTGACATTTGTGAAGCTTTTTTTGTTTATTTGTTTTTTAAAGCAAATCTTTCTAAAATGTTATGTTTGAGGAGTTTTATAAGCATGGCAAAATAAGTGTCAGCAGTTTCTACAGGTATCTGTGGTTGAGATTCTTGGCAGTCTTTCTAAGACCTTTTTTTATATATATCAATATTGAAATTATATTGTATCGAACAAAATACACAAATGTGTTTTTTTGGCCATATCGGCCAGCCATATTTCAAACAATACCAGAATAAGTGCATGGTTTAATGTTATTAGAGGCATTTGAGATTTATGGTTAGCCAACCAGTTCTACTTATCTACCCTACTTATATTGGTAGGGTTTTTTATCAGTTTGTTTTCTGTTCACTGGACAGCATAAGAATTATTAGAAGAAATCAACAGATCCCAGTAGTTAAAGGAGAGGGGATGGGATTTTATACTGTAAGCGTTTACTTCTAACCTCTCCTATTCTGATAACGGATCCCAGCATAGAGGTTGATTGGGTTGTCTTGTTTGTCTATGCTAAGCTGTTTTGTTTCAGCTGCTTTTTCGGCTCTCTCTCTTGTCATCTTTTGAACTTGCCCAAATAAACAAATATCAAGAAAGCTCAGAGAGTTTAGAGATTTTGGAGTACAGATAAAAAAAACTTTGGAGAACCATATTAAGGTCATGAAGTGTCTTAGCCAGTCTTCATACCTCAGTCCTACAGAAAATCAATGGAGGTATAGCACAAGTTTTGAGTTGCCAGTCTGAAGCAAAGAATATATAATAGAGATCAATAATCAAATAAAGATTTTTCCAAAATATCTATGTGTGCAAACAAAAAAAAACACAAGCATTTTGTACATCAAATTTTAAACTGTCTTTTTCTCAAGAATCAAATACTTATTTTTACTGAATAATGTGGAAAGAAAGAAAATGTATAATTATTGTTTTTCGTTTTTTTAAATCTGGCTTTTTGGTTGAAATTTGTAATATAGCTACAAAACAAACTTTTTTTCTGAAAGATCACTTTTGAAAAATATGTTTCTATCATTAGGATAAAAATTGAAAAGCACAACTCTGAATACACATCTAGTATAGAAAAAGAAAAAAACACTTAGAAAAAAATACTCATTAAGCTGTTTCAATGCATTTCCTGTTATGTCTGAGGGAAGATAATTAACTGTACCTATGTGTCAATTAACTATGCCATGTCCACTTCTGCTGACTAAATATGACATCAAGACCATTATCTGGTGAAATGAAAGTCATTAGTTAGTAGGTGCGATATACAGTCGATATAAAACAAATAGAACCTAGAAATTCATTTCAGGTCCTTTTCCTGTACATCTTTGCTAAAAAAAAGATTACAGTTTTACCAGGTAAGAGCATGTGATTGAAAATAACTGAGTACACCCCCATACTAATACTTTTTTGAATAACATTTTGATTTTATTACAGCAGACATCTTTTGGGTATGATCATGGGACATCTCAGCTTAATATTGTAAACTCTACTTTGAACATACGTAGGACTGATTAGGAGGTCGCCTTCTGTGCTCAGTGCAGTTTAGATCATCTCACACATTTTAACTGAAATTAGAAGTGAACTAGAATTCGGATACTAGATCATTTGTACCTTTGTGTTGTGCTGAAAGGTGTTCTTTATATTCAGCATTTGCTGTTTTTTTAATGGTTCATAAACCATACAATGTTACCCAACATTCTTATGCAAGCTTGACTGTATGTCTTCATAGAAAAATAAAAATCTGTCTTTTCATCTTACCCCATAACCCACACATGGCAAGAATATGGAAGATTGTCATACTACTCAACCACTACTTACAAGAATTTTTTTGCTGCTCTTTTAATGATCTGTTATACATCTGTCAATCGTACTGACCAGCTTTCTTCTTTTCTTTTTATAAATTTTAAAAGATCTCCATTATTTGGAGGGGAGTGTTGGCCTAGTGGTCAGAGCAGTGCACATTTGTTCTAAGAAGGTTGCAAGTATCCAGTTTGATCCCCACAGCTTGCACTGTGGGTCCATGAGCAAGACCCTTAACCCCACACTGCTCCCCAGGAGACACACAATGGCAGCCCACTGCTCTCTAAGGGGATGGGTCAAAATGCAGAGTCAATTTTTTTTAAATATTTTTTGGACTTGATGATGGTCTTTACTCTTTTGCTATCTTATATCCATTATATAACTAATTTCTTAAAATTGGTCAATTGTATTTACCCTTCAGCGTTATTCATACATGTTGAAAATTAGATCCCTCTGAAGTTTTGTAGCATCTCTGTGAACCATTAACACCGGCTGTAAAATATAATTACTGGGGGATTACTCTAACTTTAATTTTATCATTGAATTTAGACTTAAAATGTATTGTTATTGTGTATAAACAGAGTGTACACAAATGAAATTAAGTTGCTTACACCCGGGAAATGAGCAGATTACAACAGTGAAATGAACATTAAAATTTAAAGGGCGGCAGTGATCAGAATGTAAACAGTGTAGGACAAAAGGAAAACTAGTTTAAACAATATTGGTGCAAAAGGGCAATAATATTGAAAGCTTCATTATGATTCAAAATAAATATGGTACAAAATGCATTATAACTTTTAAATGTGTCCTATTTAAAAGCAATAGAAAAGTTTTGGCTTCGTTGGTAGTGCAAAATAATGTTGCAAGTGTGATGCAGAGTCCAGTTAGAGCTTGACAGTTCAACAGTCTGATGGCAGTGAGGGAAAAGCTGTTGCAGAACCTGCTGGTCCTGCATCAAATGCTGCGAAGCCTCTTCCCAGATGGCAGCAGGGACAACAGTCCATGGTGGGGGATGAGGGGTCACTGATGATGTTACCGAGATTACTCGGGGCATGCAGCGCTGGGATGACATGTCCTTAATGGAGGGAAGAATTAATGAATGAATTAATTAAAGTATTTAAACCTTTTTAATTGTTTCGAAAATGACCGTTATTTGATCGGATCAAATTCTCGCAACCAAGTCGATGCATTTGATACATCCTCTTCTTCCTTTAGCAAATTAACTAGTAAGTCTATTACTGTCCTGCCCAAGTGGCAGGTCAGGATATTTGGACCCACAACAAAAACACTTGAACGCATTACGCTTGTAATTTCCACTTTACATGTGTTAAGGATCCTCTTAACCAGACCAAATGAAGGCAGCATTAATTACATGCGGTTTAAGTAGCAGGAGACAGGTTTAACCTCCAAATGCTCCAGACCTTTTTCCAGTCAAGCATGTGGTGAAGGTACTGAACAAACAAGTCCAATTATTAAAGTCCCCACCTTGCAACTTATCGAATTTAAATAACCAGCTTCTATTCAGTTTGGCAGGTTTACAGGTGTGGATGTTCATTATGTTATTCCTGTCTGGTGTAAGGGTGCCCTTGCAGGACAAAAGTAGCAAACGCCCCACATCACACATACCGGGCCATAGACAGTAAAACAGAATATATACTTTTTTTTCATTATTAAAGCTGTGACATTTAAGCTGCTGTCACATACAACATGTCCAATATCTCTATGTTGATGTAAGTAATGTTATTTTAAACCTCTGACATATAATAATACGATCTTTTCCAGTCTCCACTCCTACTGATGGTGCTCAAACAGCAAATCGCCGCATACAAGGTTCTTTGTCCCAGAAGCCCATTGTATAGAGCCGAGGAAACCCTGTGCCGTAAGCAGCCATCTTGAGCCAGGATAACCTGCAAACCTGTTCTGAACAGCTTCAAAACAACTAAAGATTCCAGTACTGGTAAGGACAGACAGCCTGTATTCCTGAAAGGTATCGTTAGAATAGAAATCTACCTAGTAAACAAAGAGGCACAAATGTTTAAGTGGGTAATCTATAGAAACCGGTTAGCTAAAGCTCTGTCTGTCAGTAGACAGCTAAGTGAAAAGCTAACGAAGCTTACTATCAAAATGTTTCTAACTGTTTAACATTGTATGCTTTTATTTGGTTAAAAACCGTTGAAAACGTTTTTTTGTGTTGCGTGTGTGTTTTTTATTTTAAGGTCACAAGTTGAATTTCCACAATTTCTATTAACTGACAAAGCAGCTTGGTAAAGCTATTGCTATCGTACGTTAGTTTGTTGTTTTATATTATTTGTAGAAAATAAACAAAACCATCACCAAGTGTTTTTGTGTCTTTTGTTGTTTTCATACGTTTTATTAAATTGTCTCGTTGTGCAAAAATAGTCGTAAGTGCGTCACGTCTTGTTTGCTGCTGTTTGTTGTCGAGAAACATACATTGACGTTAGCTTGGTTATTAGCTATAGCTAATTGAAACTTCGGCTTCAAAACACAATGTAGAGCTGTAACTTTTAACAGTTACTAACATATATGTGCTGTTTTGTACGTGGGTTTATGATAGTGTGTTGTCTACTGGGTTTAATTGTGTTTTTGCCTCTAATAAGCGATAAAATAGTCTACAAAATCAGTTTTTTGCCGGGTTATAAGCTAACGTTTAGCTAGCCTGTTATTTTCGGAGCTAAGTAAAATATAAATGTGTTAAATTAAAATAAGGTAACAGCAGGTAGCAAATACTGGCGTCGCTATTGCTATTTGTCGTATTTAATAATAGAGTAAAAATAGATTTATAAAGCCTGTTTTGTGGTGCTCATTTGGCCATATCTTCTGAATTTGTTTTTACAATATAAAGGTGCTGTTCTTACATTTCTATGTTAGAAGAAGCACACTTGTCATCAAAGTCGTTTTTTTTAGAGATTCGTGTACTTTAAAAAATAAATAAGAGTGCCCATTGATATTAATAATAATTTAAGTGTTCGGTGCCTTTTTATCTGTGTGTAAATCGGTATTAAGTTGAAGTACTACGACTACTGTATTTATTTTGCTTCAATAATGTTTTAGTGTTTGTTGATCACATTAAAACAACATCATTATTTTAATTTTGGTTAATTTTAATAAATTACCATATGTAACCAGATGATTTCACAAGTGGGCCTGTTTGTCGTATAGAAATTATGACAATATAATTTAGACATGATTTTTCTCATCCTACAATATTACCCATTTTAATGATACTAAACCTTGGCTGTTAATTTGAAGGTATTTCAAACGTACTTGTTATATTTTTTTAACAGCCTCCCCAATTGAATAAAGATTACAAAGAAAACACTGACAGATGAGACAGATGATATTACCTGTTGTCATATTACATAGTCTTAGAATTATGTTGGCTATTTTTCTGGGGAATCGTTGGTTGTGGCATATAAAATTAACTGTATATATACAGCACATTTCTAACAACCAGGGTTAACCAAAGTGGTGAAGTGCCTGCTACCTTCTGAGATTTGGCATTTAGCATGACTCCTATATGTAAATCTAAAGAAAATATGATTGTTGATCCTGTGAGATTAAATATTTTAGCATAGCATCTTCTAGATTATTTAGTGAAATCAAGTTGTTTTACTAATGGTGGGTTCAAAGTATGCTAAGATTTTTCTTCCAATTTTGTTGTTTCTTGTTATTACGTTTAACATCAAAATATTGAGAGTAAAACTGAAGTCCTAATTGCTTAGTTATTATAAGCAATCTATTCTTTTCTTATTTATTCCTCAACAAATCATGTTTGTCTCTCACAAGTTAAACAAACCACTTATTGGAAAATAAGTTCTTATACGCTGAGTAGGGGCTGTTTAACTTCCTCCCTGGAAAGAGAGTCTCAGTGTTTAAGGGAAATATGAGACTTGCTGAAGCTGCAGTGTAAGCACACAGTCTTGATCTTTCTACATCTTGACCAATACTAATCCTTTTAATTTCTTGACCTCACATGTGGTTTTTAATCTTTTTTGAAATAACCACTTTTCCTGTCACACTTGGGATGCAGTGGGCAGATGAGGGTCAAATAAAATTCCGTAAAGAAAGACCCGAAGCGCTATGCTGGGATAAAAAAAGACACTACTGTGTAACTGCTTCATTATGATTTTACATTTGAATACTGAGTTTTCAGTTAGTGGGACATGAGCCATTTTATGTGAGGAACTTCCTTTTTGTTATAAATCTGTTATCTCAGCAAATGACAAAATGAACTGTTAGGGGTAAGTGAACTCTAAAGTCCTCTTAAAATATCGACATACTATGTTGACTTTAGTACCTCTATCTGGGATCGTCATTGTGATATGTTTATACTAATTCGATAATTTGGTACTCAAATAACAGGTGATGAATGTAACATGTACATAAGAAGTAATTTTAGATGGTGTTGCTCTGTGCTTGTTAGCTAGTGTCACTGCTTGGAAGCAGGTCAAATTGCATTTTATGGAGGGCTTTCAGTGTAAGGCAAGTGTTTTCTTGAACCATTTGCAGACACCGATTGCACACTAAAATCATGAAGTGTTTATATAGTCAGGATTTCCCCAACTATATCACGAAGTTGAACCCCGTTGACACTAACTTTCTCAAAGAGAACTTAGTGTCATGTCACAAAATGGTTAAACACTTTATTTTCAGATGTTTGGGGAGCAGTAGAGGAGCCCTGAAACTCTCTTGTTTACTTGGTACCCAAGCGGACTACAGCGGAGCTCATTAATGATAGCGGAGCTACAGCTAGATGAGCCAGCTAACATTGGTGCTAACATATCTTCAGAGCATCCCCCTAGCTGCAATTCTAAATACTAAACAAGCAGATTTAACCCAAAATGTTTAGGGGACTCTGAATTTAGCTGATGGCTCTACAAAACAGAGCATGTTTACTAATAATATTGCATTTGCAAATTTAATCTTTTAAAATTAAAAGTTAGTGATTAAATTCAACATGAGAATTGCTTTTGATTTTGATATGTTTGGTGGGTTTAGAGCCACCATTGCCAGCGGACAGCCAAAGGATCTTTGGATTCCTCGTTAGAGCTCCTTGTTGCAACTTATAACGAAGATGCTAAATACACGTACACTCTCTCCACCATAGATGGATAATATGTGCATTTGCACTTGTGACGTAACAATATTTTAGAAGCAGAAGCAATAAAATGTTAACCTGACAACAGCCAGATGCATGTCTCGCTCCGCCTAGCTCCACTCACGTACATCTGGGAACCCGCCATAGGAATTGCCTTTACTGAAGGCTGGGCTTTATCAAAACTCCTTGCATATGATTGGATAAGCCACTTGTCTGTCATCTTTATTGACGTGCTATTTCAACCACTCACACCGAAGCTAACCCGTGACGCTGTGAGAGGAGGAGCCATTTGGTAGATCTAGCTCTTGCCAAATCCGGTCGGGAGAAGGGCGAAAACATCGTTTCCACCAACAAAAGCCTTCAAAGCCGTTCTCTGATGTTCTTTTAATGAAACAATATCAGATAGATTGGACAACACAGAAGAAATAGCACAATCAATGCTAACGCTTGCTTCCTCAATGCGAGCCGCCATTGTTGTTGGAATCTCACGGTCGCTTCTCCACTCCAGGACACACCCGCCCTGCGTCCTGATTGGACAGACCATAAATTCGGTTGGGGAAATCACTTTCAATGAGCGGGTTCCCAGATGTATGTGAGTGGAGCTAGGCGGAGCGAGACATGCATCTGGCTGTTGTCAGGTTAATAAAATGTACAAAGAATACACTAAGATGAAAAATCTATAAAGTATTTTTTGTTCTAGATTTCTCAATCACTAAAGCCTTTGAGTCAGTGATTAACATGGAGCATGAGGAAATAATCCACAGTTTAAATTCATTGGCCTTGAAGTCAGTGTATTAGTTCCTTGATTGCTCTTTATTTATTTTAATGGTAAACCTTGCCAGTATCACACTGCTTATTTTAAGATTCACTGGCTGATTACTTATTCAGGATTCAACGCAAATGGAAACAATATTTAAAATGAATACTTAAAAAAAAAAGTAAAAATAAATAAAAGCTTTTTTCAGAACTCTAAAGTTGTTTAAAAGTTGTCAATAATGTCTGACAATAAAATGTTTATGAATACTTAACTTAAAACTAACACACTCTGGGATGCTGGTGGGCTAGCCTAGAGACACCCACCATAATAGCCTGTTTTCTGTCGGAAATTTTGTGTAGTTTCACATTTATATAGTTTTGCTTTTAAAGTAACCAAATTAGGACATAAAACATTGGAAATGACTTCCATCTGGTTATTATTGAAGAAAATTAACTACAAAGAAAAACATGAGAACCAAACCAGAATTTCAAAGATCTGACACAGATATTTGGAGGTTTGATCATAACTGTTATATACATCTAGGGCTGCAACTAATGATTACTCTGCTATTCGATTAATCTGCCAATCATATTTTCAATTAAAAATCGGATATCAAAAGATTTATTAAAGAAATTTTTTTACAAAATTAAACTAGGTGAAACAAAAACGTTACCTCTTGAGGAACTCTGGATTAAGGTTGTCAAAAGTATCGATACTCAAAAGTATCGATACTGAAATGTTGTATCCGGATACAATACTCGTTTTTAAAAGTATCGATACAGTGCTACCACCAGTGGCACTTAAGCAGTCATTCATCTAAAGTGCAGAATAGAGGACAATGCACTTTCAGAACACCGTGTGATTGAATAATTCTACGCACTTTTCAGTTTCAGACCTTTTTTTTTAAGAGGTGCAGCTGCTGAGAATTATTTTTGTTTCTTAACCGGTTTGGCTAGCGTCATTGCTATGTGTGCAAAGCATAGCCAAGGAAGGAACACTTAATTTTAATTTTATAAGTTTTTTTATCAAGCTTGCTTAATATTGTGCACAGCATACAACCTTTATTGTATTTATTTATTGATGAAAATATTTCTGTAGAATTTTGGAGTCTTTGTTTTTATCCTTGTGGTATCGAAAATGGTATCGAGTATCGAATATTTTCCTTAGTATCGAGTTGAAAAGTTTAGTATCGTGACAACCCTACTTTGGATAGAGCATATTGACAGTCCAAAATTATTATTTTTTTCATCTTGAATGCAAAATATTTATTATTTATTTATTTTTTTTATGTTTGGGTATTGTTTCTGCTATAAGTTGGTCTCTCTTTCAGCCAAAGGCATGTTTAAGTGTCTCAATACTCCAGTAAACGATTCACTGATTGCTAAATTAGTTGACGAATATTTCAATCATTAATTAATCACGATTAATCCAATGAATTGTTTGAGCCCTATATACATCATATCATTGCTTCTCCTTACCTCATGGTTAAACATGGGTGTACAGAGAGGCCTCTGCCTTAAGTTACTCCTTATGTTTTTATTTTACTGTTCTCTGATAACTATCTTGTGCCCCAGTGTATTAATTGTATTAAAGTGGTTTTCAGCTCCTGATTTCCAAGTGCTTGGTGCTTACTAGGAATTACCTTGTATATTTGTTTTTTAAAGAGCTTGGTTTATAAAAATAGATTTTGGTAAACAATTCTCGGGAGAAAGGTTGTAGGAAAACCAGGAAAGACTAAAGGTTTGAACTCTGTTCATCTGTTTGTTATATATTTGCACCAAACAAGCTTGTACCCTTTTTCGGGTGTCTTCTGCTGTAGCTTTCCTGACTTCCAGCGGTCTGTTAGAAGAAATTGTCTTTCAGGGTAATTTACTACTGGCAGCAGACTCCAAAAAACATTTTCCTGCCTTTTGCAATGAAACTTGGATTCGTTTCAGAGGAAACTAAAGTCTTGTGGTTTTAAAAGCTTGTGAAATGTTGCTGCTGAGTCTAAATCCATTTCTGAATCAAAACATTTTAGTTGCTTGATTGAAAAACTGCAGTGAATTGAATGTTGAGTTAAAATAACTTGCTTTAGGAGAAATCTTTGAAAAATCTAAAGGGAGCTAGATTGCCCAAGTAAAAAGATGCAGGTCTGCCTCATTGAAGCATAAAAGTCGGACGTTTTGATATTCTAGGTATATTTTGATAATTAAATTGAGCTTAAAAAAAAAATCAGTGTCTACCCCTCTAAAATGTACTTGGCAAGAAAAGTTTAAAGTACAGCTTGAAATCCTGGATTTGTAACCAAGTCCCATTTCCTTCCGGTTTGGGATGGTCCTTTATCTGTTCTTTCGCTCGTCATTCTTGCTGTTTTTTTTTTTTCTTTTGCTTATCTTATCACAACCCACCCACGTTTTTCTGTGGTTGTGTCAGCACTAGTCCGGCCAGTCAAACATGGTTACTTTCCGGCCAGTGTTGGAGTATGAGCCACTATGCCAGGCAGTTCTGGGTTGTGATGTGGCATAGTGATATCACATGCAGAGAGCTGCAGCACAAATTAGTTTGAAGCTCCACTCGCTAAAAAGCACAGCCTTAAGGCACACCACTTTTTAAGCAGTGGGAGAGCAAGAATCTATTTAAAGGTAATACTTTCTAGTAAGTCTTGAAAGTATTTTTAGTATCAGAATAAACCCAATACTGTATTTCACTAACGTTTTGTGATTTATTTTGTTCTTAATGAAAAGATTTTGTTGCCAATGAATAGTTGTTTTTGTTTTTACTGTAATGCTGCTGTGTTTGGTTCCCACTATAAGTTAAGAAAGAAGGATGTGAGGATAGTGAAGATAATATCACTGGAGTTTGTGACACCCCTCTCTGTTACCATAAGTTAAATTACCAATCCCAGTGAGAGCTAATTCATCTAAAATGAGAATCCAAGAGCCATAAACCACTAATAAACCGCTACTTCAGTCTAAATAAATCTGTAGAGGATGACACGGATCCCTGACGCTTCATGCTGGCCAGAGAGAAGCATGCTCTGAAATAGCTTCATTTTTAAAACATCTGAACAGGGTGCCTATTTAAAACCAGTGAATAATTAACACCCTGCAAGAATATTTGTTAGCAACACAATAATAAAATGATAAAAGGCAAAAGACAGTACGAAGACTGACATACTGATTTTGCTCTCTGGAGCTAAAAGTCAATGTAAAAAGATTCATATTTAGGATTTATTTAAATGCACTAGTTCTGGTAGTTCTATAGAAAGTAAAAAAATATATAACTATATAAATATGTAACTTAAAAAAAGAATGGTCTTCATAATATGAATTAAGTCGTTCAGCAAATTCATGCTTAGTTCTGGCTCCTGTGTCTGTTTAACTGATGTATTTGTGTAAATACTTTTTAGAAAGAGTTGTGTGGGACAGTGTGTGCATGTGTGGTCAATAGACAGTCACTTTAGGGGAAAATAGATGCGTTAGTAGGATTTCAGATAGCCATGACCTGGGACTGCTGAAGATGGGCCTTGGCCCTGTTACAGCCCCCCCTTTTGTAAGGAGGAGGGGAGTAACGCGACAACCACAAAAATTGACAGAGTCTAGGTGAACGTTTTAAAAGACATAGGGATTTATTAACAACAAAAATCCCAGAAGGCTTGTACACACTGTGGGGGAGAAAGGGACGGTTAGGTGGTGCCAAATCAAAGAAAATAATAAAACAAAACTGGGCCTAACTACCATCTAGTCTACAGAAAAGAAAATAGAAAACAAAAACCCTGCCTATCTAATCTAACAAAGGAGTCCAACCAAACTTTACATGGGCGGCACCCACCTGCTTACCTAGTGTGTCTAACAAAACACCTGCGTGATGAAATGTACAGGGTACCCCAAACTTACCTCGCCCACTAATCTCCCACCACAAACCTTCAAACAAACAAGACGTGTGTCAGCGTAACAGAGCCAGTTGGAGAGAAAGGCCGAGAGCCCTAGAGAGACCTCAGCTCCCCAGCTGGGCTTCTTAAATACAGCCTCCCTAGATGTTGATTGGTCCTCGTCAACCATGGCCCAATCAGGGGAGATTGATGCCAGCTTTCATTACTTCCACACTACCTGTGAAGACAAACAAAAAAGGGGGAGGGGAAGGAGAAACAAACAGCCTGGCAGGCATGTAACACCCCCACCCTTACAAGTCCAAACAAAATGTTTGGAATACTCAAAGTAAACCAGTCAAAATGCACGTGATAAAGCATCTGCCAACACATTCTCTGATCCCTTTTTATGACAGATCTTGAGGTTGTATTCCTGCATGATCAAAGCCCACCGCATAAGTCTTTGATTTTGATTGTACATCCTGGAAAGAAAGACAAGTGGGTTATGGTCTGTGAAGACAGTGATGGGTTCCACACTCAAGCCAAGATAAGCTTCAAAATGTTGTAATGCCAAGAGTAGAGCAAGCGCTTCCTTCTCAATGGTAGAATATCTACTTTGATGAGGATTAAACTTCCTTGAGAAGTAGCTCACAGGATGCTCTATGCCGTCTTTATCATCCTGTAGAAGGACAGCTCCTACCCCAACAGCACTGGCATCTATGTCCAGTTTAAATGGCAGACTGAAATCTGGGGCAGAAAGAACAGGAGAACATGAGAGCAATCCTTTTAGATGTTCAAAAGCATGCTGACATTCATCAGACCAAGTAAAGGGTTTAGATGGGCTGGTCAAGGTAGTCAAAGGAGCAGCTACCATAGAAAAGTTTTTGCAAAAACGACGGTAGAATCCTGCCATTCCCAAGAATCGACGGAGTTCCCTTCTGCTTGAAGGAACTGGAAAGTCAGAAATGACCTTAACTTTTGCATCCACAGGACACACTTTTCCTCCTCCAACCTATTGGCCAAGATAGAGAATGGTACCTTTACCAAACTCACACTTTGACAGATTGAGGGTCAATGAGGCAGCCGAAAGACGTTTGAAAACCTCACGCAAAACCGCAAGATGGTTAGACCAGTCATTTGAGTATACCACAATGTCGTCTAGATATACTCGGCAATTTGGCACATCTCCCAGTACTTTATTTACAAGTCTTTGGAACGTAGCCGTAGCATTACATAGCCCGAAAGGCATCACAGTGTACTGGAGAAAACAGTCCGGCATAACAAAAGCTGAGATGTCAGAGGCCTGTTGTGTTAGAGGTACCTGCCAATACCCTTTTAGCATGTCAAGTTTAGTGACAAACTTTGCCGGTCCTATCTCATCAATACAGTCTTCAATGAGGGGCAACGGGTGTGCATCAAGGACTGTTACAGCATTCACCTTACGAAAGTCTGTGCAGAACCTTGGACTTCCATCAGCCTTCATGTCTAATAGACATGGAGAACTCCATGGGCAACTCTGAATGGCAAGTCCATTTTTAACAAGGTACTCCACTTCCTTCTTCATGACCTCCCTTTTAGTGGGATTGACACGGTATGCCCTCTGCTTTATAGGCTTAGGATTGGCAAGAACAATGTCATGAGACACCACATTAGTCTTGGTAGGAACATCCCCAAACAGACATTTGAAGTCTGATATGAGTTTTGTGATGTCCTCCACTTTGTCATCGGATAAATGTGACAGATAGTCAGGCAGGCTAGCTAGTATTTCACTGTTACTAAGCCTTGCAACTTGTGGTGGTTCTTTGCGTGTTACCATATCCTCAGCTAACTTTGAAACACAGGCTACAGGGGCAACATCTTCAACCTGCCTCTGGGTTGGATGGTCAGTCCCCCTAGAATGATACAGTTTCATCATGTTGACATGACAAAGCCTGGTCTTACGACGGCGATCAGGAGTTTGAATAATGTAGTTGGTTTCACTAAGTTTCTTTTCTACCACATATGGTCCAGAGAACTTTGTTTCCAAAGAAGAACCAGGAATGGGTAGCAAGATCAAAACTTTATCACCGGGGCGAAACTCACGAATAACTGCTTTCCTGTCATAATGTTGCTTCATTTTGACCTGCTTGGAAGTCAAGGTATTCCGCGCAAGAGCACAAGCTGCCTGAAGGCGCTCTCTCATCTTTGACACATATGCTGGAATACTTTTTACAGAGTGAGAGGGTGAGGTTAGTTTGTCTTTAAGGACATTTAGAGGTCCCCTAACCTCATGTCCAAACACAAGTTCAGCAGGACTACAACCTAAAGTGTCTTGCATTGTTCCACGCACAGCAAACAGCAGATATGGGATACCTTCATCCCAGTCCCTCTCTGTATCCATACAGTATTTCCTCAGCATTGCCTTCAATGTCTGGTGAAACCTTTCAAGTGCACCTTGGCTTTCAGGGTGGTAAGCGCTTGAGGTGACATGCTCCACACCCAACTGTTTTAGTGCCTGGGCAAAGGTTCTAGACTTAAAGTTTGTACCCTGGTCAGTTTGGACAACCTTGGGAAGCCCGAATAATGAAAAAAACTTTACCAGAGCTTTCGTGACCATGGGAGCTGTAATCCTCCGTAGGGGCACAGCCTCAGGAAACCTGGTGGACGCACACATCATTGTCAAGATGAACTGGTTTCCACTTCTTGACTTCGGCAAAGGCCCTACACAGTCTACAATCACCCTTTCAAATGGTTCACCCATGACTGGAATTGGGAACAAGGGAGCAGGAGGTATAACCTGGTTTGGCTTTCCTGCAACTTGGCAAACTTGGCAGGTACGACAATAAAGTGAAACATCAGATTTCAAACCTGGCCAAAAGAAGTGTTTGAGAATTTTGTTATAAGTTTTATTTATACCAAGATGTCCTGACAATGGGTGATCGTGTGCTAATGCTAACACTTGACTGCGGTACCTTGTTGGTACAACCACCTGATAAATGGCACTCCAGTCTTCTAGGTTTTCACCAGCCCAGCGTCGCAACAGAAGACCATCAAGAAGCATATATGCCACCTTCTTCCCCTGGGCTTCCTCCTGTGTAAGAACAGAAGAACGACATTTCAACAGAGTCATGTCCTGTTTTTGTGCAGTGATGAATTCCTCTCTGGAAGCTGGTAATTGCATCGTCTCTGGACCTGGAAGAGGAACTACATTTTCAGATTTTTTAAGTTCAGTCTCTGATCCGGCAGTTGGAGTCTGCTCTGTAGCAAGAAAAGAGTCAGACAAATCAAGACTGTATTTCTTCGCCTGGGCCCGCGTAACCACACAAGCAGGGAAAATGTCAGACTTTGGTTCAAAATTCACGCTTACGTCAGGTGTGTCCAACACCTCAGGAACAGGCAATACCTTTCCACCAGCCAAGTCATTCCCCAGAATGAGATCAATCCCCCTTATGGGCAAGGTGGGAAGAACAGCAACCCTGCAAAAACCACTCACAAGAGATGAGTTAAGGTGGATATTATGCAGTGGTGCTGATACAAAAGTCATTCCAATACCTTGGACAACCACTTTGGGCTGACAAGATGACCCGACAGGCAAAGACAAAATACCCTCCCGAATGATTGCTTGGGAACCGCCTGTGTCCCTCAGTATTTTGACTTGTCAGCCATCTTTTGGATCCCCTGTTAAAGAAACAAGACCCTGGGTAACAAAGGGTATGAAACAGGGATCTAGTTCATTCTCATTTTTAACAGTCTGATAGCTGGAGTGCAACACATTTTTCAGCAACCCAACACCTTTTGTCTGTGTTGCCAAAGCCTTGCTCTTTAATGACAGACAGTCAGCAATAACATGGCCTTTTTTATGACAGTAAAAGCACTCCCTTACCTCACGTGGAGAAACAGGTGTTTGCTTGGCCTTAGCTTCTGACTGAGTGGGGTCAGGTTTTTGTTGACGAATGTTCAAAACTTTATCTGCACGAGGTACAGACACAAATACATTCTTGTGGGTCAACATAAACTCATCAGTGACAATTGCTGCTTTAGACAAAGAGGCCACCTTCTGCTCATTCAAGAAAACTACTAGTCTCTCAGGCAATGTGTTCTTGAAGTCTTCCAACAAAATTAGTTGGCGAAGGGATTCAAAGTTACCTTTAACCTCACTGGCAGCACACCATTTATCAAAAAGTAGTCCCTTCTCACGTGCAAACTCCACATAGGTCTGGCCACCAGACCTCTTGTGGTTCCTGAATTTTTGCCTGTAAGCTTCAGGTACAAGTTCATAAGCACGCAAGACTGACTTTTTCAGTACATCATAGTCCATGCCATCCTCTGTTGACAGCGATGAAACAACCTCCTGTGCTTTACCTATGAGCTTACACTGCAACAGCACGGCCCACATCTCCTTTGGCCACTCTAGTGCTATAGCAATCCTCTCAAATGCATTGAAGTACGAGTCCACTTCTGACTCTCTAAACACAGGCACCAAAGCAATATTCTTGCTGACATCAAACTTGTTTTTGTCTGACACCACCTGTGGAGAATCAGAGTACACAGATGAACGAGGAGGTGCGTTGCTACGTGAAAGCCTCATAGCTTCTACCTCCAGCTGTTTTAGCTTAATCTCCTTTTCAGCTTCCAGTTCCAACCTGCGCATTTCAAGTTTGAAATCAAACTCAGCTTTTCTTACCAACTCCCTCTCCTGTGCCTCCAGCTGTAGGCGAGCCAGCCGAACCTTGAGTTTGACACTACCACTGGAGCCACTGAGCTCTGGTGACACCGGATTGAACCGTGGTAAAGTCGCAGGGGCCGCCTGTGCCTCTGCCAACCCCTTTGGGGGAGTTGCCATTACAGCAGCTCCTTCATCTTTTGACGAAGGGAGTCCTAGATCAACAGAAGGATGATCACAAACATCTATATCCATTTTACTCGAGTCCGCTAGGACTTTAATTTCAATCAGTTTTTGAACAACAATGTTTTTGATTTCAGCTTTTGAAAAATGTTTTTTCACTGAAATGTCAAAATGCTCAGCCAAACATAACAAGTCGTCCTTACGACACAGTTCCAGCTGTTCGTGGCTAGGAGCCTGTACGAACTCCTCTAAGCTGAAGCTCATTTCTGAACAGACACAAGGATCTCTCAAATTAATGTGGATGTCTACAGCTCAGGGAAAATGATCCCGGACAAGCCCCCACTTGTTACAGCCCCCCCTTTTGTAAGGAGGAGGGGAGTAACGCGACAACCACAAAAATTGACAGAGTCTAGGTGAACGTTTTAAAAGACATAGGGATTTATTAACAACAAAAATCCCAGAAGGCTTGTACACACTGTGGGGGAGAAAGGGACGGTTAGGTGGTGCCAAATCAAAGAAAATAATAAAACAAAACTGGGCCTAACTACCATCTAGTCTACAGAAAAGAAAATAGAAAACAAAAACCCTGCCTATCTAATCTAACAAAGGAGTCCAACCAAACTTTACATGGGCGGCACCCACCTGCTTACCTAGTGTGTCTAACATAAAACACCTGCGTGATGAAATGTACAGGGTACCCCAAACTTACCTCGCCCACTAATCTCCCACCACAAACCTTCAAACAAACAAGACGTGTGTCAGCGTAACAGAGCCAGTTGGAGAGAAAGGCCGAGAGCCCTAGAGAGACCTCAGCTCCCCAGCTGGGCTTCTTAAATACAGCCTCCCTAGATGTTGATTGGTCCTCGTCAACCATGGCCCAATCAGGGGAGATTGATGCCAGCTTTCATTACTTCCACACTACCTGTGAAGACAAATAAAAAAGGGGGAGGGGAAGGAGAAACAAACAGCCTGGCAGGCATGTAACAGCCCCATTTGTCCTTGTAAATATTAGCTTTTATAGGTGGAGCGTGTAACAAAAATAATTTCCCTCAGGGATTATTAAAGTATTCCTGATTCTGATTCAGATATCTACAATAGGAAAGTTGTTCTCTTATTTGATTATAGAAAGGTAAAATGGGTTTCTGTTATTCTACTAGTCGATTGAGTATTGTAGAGTTTTGTTTTTCTTAACTAATAGTCTACATAAATTAGGATTTCAATCTTTAATTCTTTATAAATTCAGCATGGGCACTCATGTTTGGTCTACATAGAAAGGTATCACTAAAGATTTCAAGAACTGATTAGATCTTTTCAAGATTGAATCAGTTCATTTTGATTTGATCTGGTTTGAGCTATTTCAAATTGGGTTGCTTGCCTAACCAGAAATTTTTTTTTTAATTCCCTAACACTAAAGTCAAAAGCTTGAATGATATAATAATAATTATTATAATGATCAGTAATAATCATTGGTGTAATAGTAGTATATTATATACTGAGTAAAGTTGACAAATACTCTAAAATACTATAGAATTTAGCTCAGAGACTTTCCAAAAAATAAAAACAAATCACTGTACTATGTTTTCCAAGTTTGAAGACGTTTTGCTTCCCAACCAGGAATTTTTTTCAATTCAAATTGTCTGGATTTCAAGCATTTCAAGATTTATAAAGTAGCCCAACAAAGCCTTGTTATGGCTTAGAAAACATGCAAATTCAACTGGAAGAACAGATGCACCCCTTAGTAATGGAGAGTTGTCAAGGTCTTGTTAGCCTGCAATACCCGATACTTGCCTATGCCTCTGAAAAGGGGAGTCTTTAGGGTCATTGTTGGCCTGGCTGATCAGGCGAGATGTCATGGTCCCCTGCATGGAGATGACATTGAGGTGATAGCAGGAAGGTTTAGGAAGTTTTTGAGAGCTGAAACTTGAGTCACTCCCCTCTGTTTAAGGTTGTTTTTTCTCTCTTAACATAAATGGCTTCATTCACACCCCTTTCAAACTACCTCTCTTCTTTATTCAAAATTTGAGCATTTTGGTCTTCAAAAGAATGAACTCTGTCCATAATGTATAGATGGACAGCCGAGTCTTGTGCGGGGGAGGTAGCCCGTCTGTGTCTGTGAAAAAAACTCCCTGGATGGGAGGCGAAACGTCTTCAAACTTGGGAAAACAAAGTCCAGTGGGGTTTTTTTTTTTTACTTTTTTGGAATGACAATGACCTGGATGACTGAGAATCTTCACCAGCATACAGCTCAGAGACATGATTGTACTCTACAGACTGTAAGCACAATGCACAGAGCATGGAGGACTTTATGGTTTTATGATAAATAAAAAATAACTGTACATTTTCCTGTCTCCAAAATGCTTTTCTCAAAAGTTTAGAGCCAAGAATGTTGTTTTGCTGCATACGGTTGGTAAGGTTTACAGCAAGTTCTTTTACAGTTCATCCATACTTGGAAAAAGTCCTCCTTCGTGCTGTTAGATGGTACAGCTCTGTGTGTATCTGACACACTCGTTCAAAGCTGTGCTATGGAAAGCTGTAATGATAACCATTCAGAGTTTTAATGGAAACGTCATTAAAACCAGTATAGCTACCTGTTTTAATAAATAAATGAGGAACAATTACATCCCTGCTCTGCATTAGGGCTGCAGAATTTATTGTTAAATATTATTATGTCTATTTAGATGTACAGATCAGGATTTTGGGAGCTGATCTTGATGACCATAATGAGTAAATGCCGATCCCAATTTTGCCGTTAACCAATCACAACATCAGATCCATACATTTTTCAATTATTCATTAATATTATATGATTGAATATAAAAAATAGGAAATGAGAAAGTATTGCAAATTTACCACTTTTTTTAGTGAGGGAGTGCAGCAAAGATTCTTTTTTTAATCATAGTGGAAGATGGATAAAATAATGTTGACAAAGGATGACTACTCTTAAGAGGTTTGTAAATCGTTTTTTAAAAAACATTTGAAATTTAAGCCTCTGAAGGATTACTTCATCGTCCTAATACCTGGAACGCAAACACCGGGCAGCTGTCTCTCCCTCGTCTTCAGCTCTCTGCCCAGTTGACTTATCTAATTTAATGCCATCCTCCATCTATCTTCCGTTTTTTAACGGCTATAGCTAGCCAAGCTGATTTGTCCCCAACATGGGACAGCGGGGCACAGAACTGGTTCAGAGATAGGCAGAAGTACCGTTAAAAGTAATCATCATCCAGGCTAGCTTCTGGAGGAGGGGCTGACATTCTCCATACTGGTTCCGTCTCTGGCTATCTGGTGAACCCAGTGAGACGCACTGCATTGTTTGGCTCTCAAAAGTAAAGAAAAGTACACTATATTGCCAAAAGTATTTGCTCACCCATCCAAATTATTGGAATCAGGTGTTCCAATCACTTCCATGGCCACAGGTGTATAAATTCAAGCACCTAGGCATGCAGACTGTTTTTACAAACATTTGTGAGAGAATGGGTCGCTCTCAGGAGCTCAGTGAATTCCAGCGTGGAACTGTGATAGGATGCCACCTGTGCAACAAATCCAGTCGTGAAATTTCCTCGCTCCTAAATATTCCACAGTCAACTGTCAGCTGTATTATAAGAAAATGGAAGTGTTTGGGAACGACAGCAACTCAGCCACGAAGAGGTAGGCCACGTAAACTGACGGAGCGGGGTCAGCGGATGCTGACGCGCATAGTGCGAAGAGGTCGCCAACTTTCTGCAGAGTCAATCACTACAGACCTCCAAACTTCATGTGGCCTTCAGATTAGCTCAAGAACAGTGCGCAGAGAGCTTCATGGAATGGGTTTCCATGGTCGAGCAGCTGCATCCAAGCCATACATCACCAAGTGCAATGCAAAGCGTCGGATGCGGTGGTGTAAAGCACGCCGCCACTGGACTCTAGAGCAGTGGAGACGCGTTCTCTGGAGTGACGAATCGCGCTTCTCCATCTGGCAATCTGATGGACGGGTCTGGGTTTGGCGGTTGCCAGGAGAACGGTACTTGTCTGACTGCATTGTGCCAAGTGTAAAGTTTGGTGGAGGGGGGATTATGGTGTGAGGTTGTTTTTCAGGAGCTGGGCTTGGCCCCTTAGTTCCAGTGAAAGGAACTCTGAATGCTTCAGCATACCAAGACATTTTGGACAATTCCATGCTCCCAACTTTGTGGGAACAGTTTGGAGCTGGCCCCTTCCTCTTCCAACATGACTGTGCACCAGTGCACAAAGCAAGGTCCATAAAGACATGGATGACAGAGTCTGGTGTGGATGAACTTGACTGGCCTGCACAGAGTCCTGACCTCAACCCGATAGAACACCTTTGGGATGAATTAGAGCGGAGACTGAGAGCCAGGCCTTCTCGTCCAACATCAGTGTGCGACCTCACAAATGCGCTTCTGGAAGAATGGTCAAAAATTCCCATAAACACACTCCTAAACCTTGTGGACAGCCTTCCCAGAAGAGTTGAAGCTGTTCTAGCTGCAAAGGGTGGACCGACGTCATATTGAACCCTATGGATTAGGAACGGGATGTCACTTAAGCTCATATGTGAGTCAAGGCAGGTGAGCAAATACTTTTGGCAATATAGTGTATTTTGAGTTATTTGGTAAATCCATGTTTGGTGGAACTAACAACCAGCAGACTCAGTGGGGAGGGTTGATGAATTATCAATTCTCGTTGCCAAACTGTACTGGTTTACATCAGTTTTGTTCTTTTTTTTTTCACCTAAAAAATTGCTTTGAAAAGAGTCAATCATTCAATATTTATACCCATATTTGTTCATAAGCATAGTGAACACAGTAACATCATCTGCTATAATGTTTGCTGCTCTGGCCTTTATAAATAAACCGCTGACTAAAAAGAAATTAAGGTTTTTATTGCACTTCCATGATGTTCATCATTTTATGTGGTCTTTTTTAAAGAACGTTATGCTCCTGTTTCTTTACTTCAAGTAGTGAGAAAAAATGTATAGTCAGTGATGGATTTGACTGCTAGGAGGGATTGAGTTGAGTGCAAGGTCAATGAAGCATTATGTTTAGTTTTCCTGCTTATTAATGACAAAATGCCCTTTTTTTTCCTTCCAGAGCCACCATGGCCACTGCACCATATAACTACTCCTACATTTTCAAATACATCATCATCGGTAAGTGACGTGATCACAGTAACAGGCCTTGTACAATTATCCAGGAGTTATTCGAGTTAATGCTTAAGATTGTTGGTTATATTCATACCTTTTAGCTGTTCTTTGTATAAACTTAAAATTGAATAAACATTGATTATTGTTAAATATGCTTCTAATTTAGCATCTCAGTGATAAACAATTAGCTTCACTGTTTGTCACCTTGCCATCTTCTTGAGGTGCAGTTTATTTATACAATAAAATAGACTTGATGTAAATGTATTACTTTGTTAAATAACTACAAGTAGCAAAAATGAATCAAATCAAACTGCTGATGCAGTACTTGATTGCTACAGTTGGATACACAGACCAAAGGAGGGTAAAAATGTGCAAGTTGTTGCAAAATATAAGGTTTTACATCTAAAAAACATTGAATAAATCAATGTCTCTTTCCTTCCTAGTCTGTTTGCTTGTCTCTTAAGACCCCATGAAATGTTAAGTGTTTTAACTGTTGTATGTTGCCAACACTGCAGGCTTGAATAAAGAAACGATTACTCCTCTGTTTCCTTTGTTGACCTGAGTTTCTCTGCACGTCTCTCTCAATAGGGGACATGGGGGTAGGAAAGTCCTGTTTGCTTCATCAGTTCACAGAAAAGAAATGTAAGTACTGGCCCAATTTTTAACTCCGCTGTGTGTCTTTGTGTGCACCTCAGTGTTTGCAAGGTTGCCAGATATCTCTGGAGTGTCTAAATGGCTTTAGATTTCTTTCTATGCCAGCGGATGCCTGTGGCAAAGAAGATGAATGGTAGCTCAACAGTGAGAGTCTCTTCTCCTGTGTATGAGCCAGCTGCAGCCTCCCATTACCATTCAGCTCAGTCGTGTTTAGTGCTGCTATTAAAAAGCCAGATGATGTGTTCCTCATTCATGTCTATAATCACATCCTGGACAAATTCACACAAAGGTGAAAGGTATTTTTTATCTTTGAAAAAGGTGTTCAGTCATTTGAAGTAAAATTCAGTGTAAAATTGAGTTTTTCTGCCTTGTGCATATTATTCTTCACAGCAGAAATTATTTCAAAATCTTACATTTGTCCTCAAATTTTACAAAAGGTCCAGTTAAATTTGTTATGCATAAGATTATATTGAACCCTGGAATGTAAGATTTAAAAGATCATAAAATGTGAGTCAGAGAAAAAGGTCCCTCTGGTTGCATAAGACCTTAGCTGTTGGTCACCACTCCCTTTTAACAGAGAATAACGTCAGGTCTAAAGCAGAGAGGAAAGGTCATCTGGCTGAAGGTTGAGGGGACAGGAAGCATTGGGCTTCAAAATATAACTGAGTTGTTTTTAAAAAAAGAACTAGAAATCAATATGTTTAAAATGATCTAATTGCTTTATTGAAAACAGAAACGTTTTTCCTTAGTCTTCTGAAAGAAGTTAATTTGATTTTATTCTGATTTTTATCTATCACATTTATTTTGCGACCATGATAATTTCCCCATGATCGTCTTTCAGCTAAGGATTATGGAGGACCTAGAGAGTCGCTGAAAAATAAAAACAGCCACTTCAAATATAACATTTAAATCATGCAATTTGAAGTCCAATTTGAAAATCTTTTTTCTAATTGCACATTTTACATTGAATTTTAAAGTGGAATTGAATATTTTTATTTATTAATTCTTAAATAAAATACTGGAATTAAAAATTTATTTTTAAATCCAATTCCAAATAAAGATTTTTAAACCAAAATTCATAAATCTGATTATATATACCTTTCCTAATCACACATTCAAAAAGACGATTCCTTATTCCATTTTCCTTTTCAACCTCCTTTTTCAAATCTTTTATTTTGCATAAACTGCTCCATTTGCCTTTCTTGTTACCCTTTTGGTCCCTGTGAAAACTGAAAACATGTTAAGCCAATCACAGTTGCTACTCAGATATAACCAGCTCTCATTGGTTAGACTGCCACACTTTGTTCACAAAGTAACCAATAAGAGAGCTAGTTATATCTGAGACAGAACAGTGATTGGCCTAACTGGTTTTCAGGGTTACAGAAAAGGTTAATGGAGTGGGTAACCGCGTATTTAGAAAATCCTTAAATTGCATGATTTAAATGTTATATTTGAAATGTCTATTTTTATTTTTCTGGGATTTTCTAGGTCCTCAATAAAACATATGTTTAAAGTCCAAGCTTAAATTGTACTAAATTATAAAAAATACACAATTTTATAATTTTTATCATGTTTTCATACCTTCAAAATAAGTTTCCTTATAGAGTTTCTGTAAATGTGTTGAACACCGACAGTGATAAAAAAAAAAGTGAAGATGCAGAATAAATTGATTTCACTTTGGCCTTTCTTGCTGTCTAGTTATGGCAGACTGCCCTCATACAATCGGTGTGGAGTTTGGTACGAGGATAATCGAGGTGAGCGGACAAAAAATCAAGCTGCAAATCTGGGACACAGCAGGACAGGAGCGCTTCAGGGCAGTCACCCGCTCCTACTACCGCGGGGCCGCAGGGGCACTTATGGTCTACGACATTACCAGGTAAAAATGCAAAGTTTACGTCATGTTCGTCTTTGAGGATGTGGGCAGCAGCAGATAAATACCAGTCTCTCCTTCACCCTCAGAGTTTATATTGTATCTTGGGTATGTCAAATAGCATGAGGAGAGTATATTCAAATTGATGAGGAAAGCCTGTTATTTGCCTTTAATTTGGGAAGATGCTGCACAAGGCTGCAAATAATAAGAAATTATTCTCGTTCTGATGGTTCTATTTATCTAATGTACAAAATGAGAGCACGTTTGTTTATCGTTGCTGCTGCCAATGTATAGATGTGCACTTCCTGTAATCAAAGGGTGTGGCTTGTGAGGACTAGATGTTATCATGTTTTCTCTTTTTATTGTTTCCTTAGTCCAGATCAGTTTAGAGAGAACTGTGTTTAAAAGATAAAGAAATCAGCATACATGTTGCATTAAGCTGCTTCTGTCAAACCCTCTAAAAGATTTTGAAAATAACCGTAACCTCAAACTCGTGCTCTGAAGCTGTTCATATGGTGCACCTGCTGCTGCTGCTGCTGTGTTCTCTCTGTGCAATAGCTGGAGATTACGCTTCGACTTGCTGTCATAGTAACGCCCTGTCCGTGTTGTTGTCCTGCAGGCGAAGCACTTACAACCACCTGAGCAGCTGGCTCACTGATGCCAGAAACCTCACTAACCCCAATACTGTAAGCATACAGACATATTTCACAATTAAATCGCTGTTTTCTGTTATATCTCAATTTCCAAGATCAACCATTATTTCTTAATCTTGCAGCCAAAATTTTCCTTAGTCACTCCATCTTCTCTACCATTTAGTTTCCCATCTTTTTTTTAAAAGAACTACAGTCCCTGTTACCTAACTAGATTTTTCTTGGCAAACTTGATTAGCTCTAAATCATCCAGCTCACCATCAAAGGAGCAAAACAGGCCTTCTTCTATTCCAGGCTTCTGACATATATCTTGAGTTATCGAGCATGATGGGAAGCTTACACTGCTTTGCACAGAAATTGCCACTATAATGTTTTTCATACTTACGTTAATAGTTTAATCACAATTTTATTAAGATTTTAAATCATTATCAAAGGCAAGTTTTATAATCCATGTAAGAAATAGCAAAACATAAACCCCATTGATGTAAAAAGGACGATATATTCTTCTAAATGCATAAAATTTTAGGTCAGCACATTTCAATGGGTTTTATATGTTTAATGCATTTTAATTTTTCCTGAAATTTCTTGTATTGCCAGCAATAGAGCCCTGGTTTTGTGTAAACACACTTCCTTTCTTTATCTAAATCATAAAGCTGCTTTTAGTGTGAGTGGTTAAAAAATGCGACTTCATGCTGTGTAAATGTAATTTCTAAACATTAGGTTATAATTATCTTTAGCAGCAATTAAATTGTGACACCAAACATTTTTTTCTTTCCAAGAAGTTGTTTCTAGAGACAAAGGTCAGTACGTTAGAGATCTGATGATAGTACAGCAGCTAGGCAGTCTGCCCCAAATGTTCCTGATCTCTGACGTTCTCCTAGTAGATAAGTAAAGTTCAGTCTTCCGGTATTTATCTGTGTGAGATTTGTGCCTGACTGAAATTACCGGCTAGATCGCCTAACGCTGCTTCTTCCTGAATCGTTAGGTCATCATTCTCATAGGAAACAAAGCGGACTTGGAGGCCCAGAGGGATGTCACATATGAGGAAGCAAAGCAATTTGCTGAAGAGAACGGTGAGCTGCACATCCCTGCCACATGTTCCATTGGAACCCTTAGTTGAGCGATGTTATGAGTTTTGATCAGAGGAATTTCAAGTAAATTTTCCAGTTTTGAGGCTTCAAATATCTTCTGTTCAGTTTCAAAGTAAATTTATATTTCATCCAGAAATGACTACAATTGACTTTCATTGGATACTGTTGCTTTTAAAGAAGAGAGGATAATGAGCTGATTTCATAATGGGATGAAAAAGAAATTAGCTGGTGAATGTGGGAGTGCATTTTAATGACTTATCGTTTGTTTCTCAGGTTTATTGTTTCTGGAAGCCAGTGCAAAAACGTAAGTGACGACCACCATAAGGTGTCGGCTCCTGCATCATACAGGGCCTTGCAAAATATGTATATATTTACACCTCTTGTTGTCACATCACAACCTCAAACTTTGGCGCAGAAGGTAGTTTGTGATTCTGAAGTGCAAGGAAAACTATACATGGTTTTAAATCTTAAAAAAGGCCCTGTGTTGGTTTCCTGCTCCCAAGTATATAAATGCAATTTGTTAGCTGCCAGTTTTTGTTTGTACAAGTGGCTTTTTTTCACAGCAGTCAGACAGGAAAAGGAGATGTAGTTAAGGAAATGAATCCTACGTCAGACACACAGTGTCCTCTCTGTTGTAATCCTCTGTGTTATGTAGGAGAGCAAAGGGGGTTTAATACAAATGCATGCTATCAGTTAGGGAATTTATTCATAAAAATATACTGTAAACCATGTATTGTTTTCCTTCCCCTTCACAATTATGATCTACTTTGTGATGCTGCAGCACATAAACTTGTTTTTGGTTGCGATATGATAAAATTGACAACATTTTAAAAGAGCCAGCTATTGCGTTCTTGGACTCATAGATGTAATTTTCCTCTACAGAGGTGAAAATGTTGAGGACGCCTTCCTCGAAGCTGCTAAGAAAATCTACCAGAATATCCAAGATGGCAGCCTGGACCTAAACGCCGCCGAGTCAGGGGTGCAGCACAAGCCCTCAGCACCTCAGGGCGGTCGACTAACCAGTGAACCCCAGCCTCAGAGGGAAGGTTGCGGCTGCTAATGACCAAGCAACCCCCCCCCCCCCCCCCCCCCCCCGCGCCTTTCCTCCTTTCTGTTCTGGCTGGGCTCCCTCCCTCAAGCAAACCCCTTCTTTCCATCCATTCCAACGCTTTCGTACGTTCATCCCTCACTGTTTCAGGAGCTGCATGAGAGCTGGGCTGGGGAGGAAAAGAAGGGCAAACATCGACTTAAGCCAGACTGAGCTGGGCTACGTGGACTACATCTCTCCCTCTGTCTATCTCTGTCTCACTTCCCTCCCATCTGTGTCTGGCAACGTTCAGCCTAACCCCCCCCCACCAGTAGGAGTGTAGATGGCACCAGGAGTCTCACTGATCACTGACACCTTAGTGTTCAGCTGATAGTGGTGAAATGCGCACACTGCAGAAGTTTCACATGCCCCTTGTCAGTTTTGTATAAATTAAATCTGAAATTTAAACCCCAAACTCTTCAAATGCACGTTTTATGATTTTTTTTACTTTATGCAAATAGGTTTACTTTTCAGTGAGGGAAGAAGGTAAGAGAGATATATTTATTAAGCAGACACACACAAAAGAAATTCAGACAGAAATTCCTGGCAAAGTGTTAAGTTATAAAATCCCTGCATTGTTTTTCTTTTGGGGTGTTTGATTTAAGTCGGCATTAGATTTCATTTTAAGTCATTGACTTGCTCAGCTTTCCCTAATGCATCAAACCTTCAAAACTCTCCCATCACTGTCAACACGTCTTAACCAGCATCTGTTATTGTTGCCTTATCGGAACACTTTGTTTTGTTTTTTTTATGCTACCACCGGCTTCACACAGAATCAATAAATTAGCTCTTACATTTTGTTAGAAAGTAAAAACAAATCTCCCTTTTCTTAAAGCTGCACTGAAGAAGTGGTCTGTTTATCTGGACAATTGTTGATGCCTCATATAACCAACACAAAGCAGCATGCAACCCCCCCCCCCCCCCCCCCCTCTTGACACATTAAGTTGTAAAACAAAGAAAAATGTTTTTATTTCCTTAAATTACATTATTTCTGTAACATAGAGGTTCCCTGACTGAACAGCTGTATATATATTGCTTCTTAACTGCTGGTGATAACCTTGCTACTGTACTTTGGTTTAAAGAAAGTTATCTGCCAAGATCTGTACAGTCGGTGTGCTAGTGGGTTGCCTGTAATTCATGCTTTGGGAAATTCTGTAACATAGTTTCTATTAATGTGTGTAAAGGACAAACCCAGACGAGTCCCCGCCCCACCACCATCCACCCTGTCTGCACACTACCAAGTTAGCCGGTACACTGAGGGGGGAGGCAATCCGGTTTGAGATATTCAGATTTTATTTATTTCAAACTTTAGAGTCATGTCTGTACAGATTAGACACCGGGGCATGTTTGTGTTAGTCTGCTTCATTTTCCCCACCCCCTGCGTCTCTGTATTATCTTTTTTGGGCTGCAGGGATTGGTTTATATTTCTGGATTTGGTGGGCTTCCTTGTCCCCATGTCCCGCCTCTTTGCAGTTTGAGTGACCACTTCCTGCTTCGTCTGTCCACAAGTTAAAAAAAAAAGGAAAAAAATGGCAAAACTAGTAAATATGTATACATTTTTAAGAAGCTGTGCTAACATTTAAATGCGTTCTTTGCGTGTATATGATTTTAAAATGTTGACATTTCGATTTTAATGATAAAATACTCTAGTCAGAAAAATAAATTATACATAACCTGAATTTGTATGTGTGCTTCTTGGCTTGAATTAATTAAAACAAGATGTGTCTGTTTTCTATATCCTTTTGAAATACAGAATATAAAAAATATATGAACGAGATGAACCATATTAGCTTAGGATAGGAAACCATAAAAGAGTCACACCCAGATTTCCATTTCAAGTAGCTTTTGTATTTTTACTGCAACAAAAATTGCACCCAGGTTAGAAAGGAAGAAACAGTTACAAATAGAGGCCAAACTTTTACAAAATGTGTGATTGAGGCTTGGACACAAAAGTAGAGTAGTGGTATGTTTGGTAAAAAGGAGGAATTAACAAAAAGCAATAATGACGGTACCATTGAAGTCAAGGCCAGAAGCTGTGACTTTTGTCCAAAGGCTTCGCAGTCAGGCAGGGCACAAAGGTAAAAACGATTACAGCACAAACACCGAAAATGTTCCAGGAGATTCCGACAACTGGAGGGAGGGGGGATTAAAACATTAAGGTGGAATTTCATGGTTATTATGGTTCCCCCCCTTTCAGTCATTTTGAGACAGCAATTGACAGACGGGTTAACGTTTTAGTCCAGTGTTTCCCAAGGGGGTATTTTTTCTTTTTGGGAGCGGAGGGCCTCTGCAGCCATCCCTCATGTCTTTGGAGCAGAGGCCTGCCAGGGAAACACCAAGCCAGTGTGTTGCATCCTGTTAACTGATCTAACAGCATGCAGCAGCAAGGCCAAGGCTGCTACTGATGGCTTATTTATTCACTGGCACAGAGAGGAAAGGATTACATCAAAATAATACATAGAAAATCAAAAAGGAAAGGTCCAGTCTGAGGAAAACTATACAAAAGGAGAAAAATCCACTAGGATGCAGATCTTGCAGCCCAGATCCATTTTTTTTGGTACTGCAAACATTTATATCCAAAGAACAAAACCACAACCACACTCAAGCATATGGAATAATTCAACCAAAGCCATACAGACACGTTTACCGCCTACACAGCCTCACATGTACTTGTTAAGGCTCTAAATGTTACTGTAGTGAAAGGGAGGAAGCAAAAGGAGACTTTAGGCTCATTCTCCTCGTGTTGTTACTTTATGGCACGAATGGCTGCAAATACTTCAAAAAGCACCAATACAAAATAGACAGCAACACAGTTTCATCTGTCGGCAAACGATCGGTGACGACTGATCAATAAAGTAAAAAAAAAAAAAAGGACGGTTTTTCTCTATTTCTAAAGCTGAGAACAGAAAAACCAACTGGAAATGTTTTCAAAGGCAAGTTAAGCTAATTGTCACAGCAAATGACTTAAATTCAGATTAAATCAAATATTGGAGGCCAGTTTTATGATGGTGTTAAGTGATAAGGGGGCAAAAAAATTAAATATGTAAGACATGGTTAATTCAAAGATGATTGATGTAGAGTTGGTCCACAGCCTAATTAGGGCTAAGATGACAATGTTCATATATAGTTACGGCTTTCTGACAAACATCCTCACTGTTTCCTTTGAGTCCATCATTGAAACCACAGGAATAAGCGAGTGGGACAGTAATGTGGCGTCATCCTACGCTGCTCCTCTTCATCACACCCCACCCATCAGGCACATCTCAGAGGGTCAAAGTTCGTATCGGTTTCCCATTGAGGCGCTACCTCTGAACAATGTCACTGATCTCTTTGACAGACGACAGCAGCTTACTAAAGTCCTGCTGCGCGTTAGCGCCCCCTGTAGCCGAAGGACAGATCTGGAGCTCGCGCAAACTGCTCTCGAGCTTGGTGATGGCCTCGCGAAAAGCGAACTTGTTCCTCATCTGCTGGATGGAGTCGACGTAGCTCACGCAGTATTTGGACAGGTTCTTCCCGGCCTCCAGCACGCCGTTGTGGCTTCCCGTTTGCTCCGATATGCGGGAGATGGCCGTGCGGAGCAGCTCGGCTCCCTCCAGGACCATCTCACGGGTCACTGCTGAATAGGGTGTGCGCTCGCTGCCTTGGCGCGGGGTGGTTTTGCGGAGGGAGGATCGGGTTCTTGCAATAGGGGTGAAAGCTGATATGTTCTGATCGGCAGGCGGGCCGCCTCCCTGGATTTGGCTGGAAAGAGAACTGGTCACAGAATTAGCGGATGCTGAGGCTTTTAGAGTTGGAGGTTTAGAGCCCAAAGGCCCCTTTTTGGATCCCTCGCTGATGGGCGAGCGGGATTGGTCACTAGCAGCAGATGTATGGGGGGGGTCTGTAAAGGAAGGAAGGCCTTTAGCTTTCACGTCTGAAGGGGAAGATGAAGGGGATGATGAGGGGAATTCTTGAGTCGGGCTCCGGGGGATTTTGCCCGATTTAAGTCCGGTGGGTGGTGGTGGTGGAGCGGGCTTTGGCTTCTGTATCTTACTTCTATCCCTGAATGATGAGGGTTCCACAGTATGCTTGTTCCTGCGGGCCCTACACTCCTCGCCTGCTGCCCCCAAGGCAGGAAGAATGTTAGCCTTCAGAAGTTCTGCCTGGAGGGCGCAGGTCTTGGAGGCCTCCTGCCCGCTCACTCCTGGTCTCTTGACCACTTTAGGTGTCGATGCTTGTGGACTGGAACCAGGGCTGGGATCAGTGTCTTTACCCAGGAAGGAAGTGGAAACATCTGGCGATGTGTTAAGACGTGGAGGGGGGGTCAGGGTGCCCGTTCGACGGGCGTTCTCTCCTTTCTGCTCATTGGTCCTCTTTCGCGGTAAAGCAGGCTTCCCTCCTAATGTGCTGGAGTCAAAGTGACGCTGGCCCAAATCTCGGGGTAATGTCACAGACTTCCATTCGGTGCCGTCTCGACCGTTGGACACGATGGGGGACCAGAGGAAACGGTTGGAACTGGAAAGACCGTCCTCCTCACTGGGTGGCGTCGTAGCCGGCTTGCTCCCCGGGCCTGGCACTGCAGGGGGGCCCTTCTTACGAGGGAACAAAGGTCCTGGGTAGCTGGGAGTCCCGCTGTTGATCCCTCCGGCACCGTTGTTACCTCCCAAGAACTTTGAGGATTCGACACCATGCGTGGTGTCATTCAGAGACAAAGATGTACCATTGTTGAAGTTGTCACTGTCTCGTAGATCAGGAGTCACTCCTCTCCTTTCAATAGTTATATCTGCCTCTCTGAAAGAGGAGCTTCGCTTGGGTGGAGCTGGAGCGTTCCTTTTCTTTATCTTGATGCGGCTGAGAAAACTATTGCCTCGGGTTTTGTCCTTGTCTTTGGGGATTAGGCGGTCATCTTCATTTAGGTTATTGTCCAGCAGAGGGCGCTCTTTCCTTGGTAGCATTGGTGATGACACACCCACCTCCAGTTCAACAGGGTCTGAGGAGCAGAATAAAGGGCGAGATTTTATGTAACAGATTATAAAACCAAAGGATTATGGGTGGTTCTCTACGGAAACCGAGAGCGGTCGTTTCCCTCAGATACTTTTTCCACTGTTAAGTTAATTTTTTCATTATCTTAAGATAACACAAGCTGTTTTCTCGTCATAACGAGATGATTGGATTTATAAGTATAAGTCAGGGCAGCCAATGTGAAATTTTTTAAATAATCCTGTTTTTAACTTTTAGGTAACGAGACGACGTTGTTGGTTTGATGATTTGCTTCCACTTCTGATTCATAAGCAGTTAGACCTATGCCTCCGGCGCCTTAGCGCCTAGTGTTACTTCTGTAACAGGTATAAGATGCATTAACCCCCAAAATGAGTCCAGATTAAAGTTTTTCATTAAAAAGCAGAGTTGTTTCTACTTTAACCCATGCAATCCAATTATCCACCACGACCTGACAATCAATGAAAAGAAATAGAAAAACTTATTATTTGCGCACAAGCGGTACCCCAACTTCATACTATGGTTACCGCAGGCATGGATGGACTGGAAATCCAGGGCTGTTGGCCAGCCTCGTTCATTATTCATACAGGTTAATCATCTCGTTATCTCAATAAATCAACAACTGTTTTCTTGTGATAACGAGATAGGTATGTCATTATCTCGAGAAAGCAAAGAAAAAAAAAAAGCAGAGTATGACCGCTCTCGGCTTCCATAGTTCTCTAACGGTTTACCAAAGCATATCTATAAAGTGAGCCTGGCTAACTCATGTTTATGCCTTCACCCCCCTTTAGTCTGATGACCTGAAGGAGATTCAGGTGCAGGT